AACTGTATCTCTTCAGTATAGAACTGTGGAGAAACAATCATTTTAGAAATTAGGAGAAGGAATTGGAGTGTAAAGGCATTTCTTTATGCGTAGGAAGGAAGCTCTGTGCATCGTGTATCTTCAGAGAAGGGATTGGATTGTGTAATCTACTTCTGGTTACAGATCCTGAGCAAGATGGCATTTGCATCAGAGAAAGACTTCCAAAAAAGAAGTGGAAAGGAGATGCAATGGGAACAAGAGGAGGAGTTAAGAAACAAAATCAGCATCTTTAAAGATATGAGAGTCTGTCTCCAGAGGCTGAATCCAATATGGCCTAAAGAGAATTCTGGCAATGTTTCTGGCCTGGGACAGTCCAGAAGAAGAGAGGTAAGTATAGTTCCCACTTCAGTAGGATGGCAAGTGTATCTGAAAGCAAGTGAAAAAAGTTCATGAGGATCTCATTTTAAAATAAGTACCATATTTATTGAATCCAAGACAAGGTTCCTGCCATCCCAAATCAGCACAGTGGGGAAAAAAGCTTCATCTTGAATTTGAATACTGGCCCAGGACAGGCAGCAGCCCAGCTCAGGCTTCAAGTCCAGCCTCAGGGCTGGGCTGCCACCTGCCTCAGGTTCGAATGGCTCATTTGATGAGGGAGGGCATATATGGCTGGCGGGAAGCATAAGGGAGACTGCAGGGTTGGGGAATCACTTGCAGCCTACCCCCACATCCCATGGCAGATGTTGGGAGCATATGGCAGGGGAGTGCATGGGGGGCAGGCACAGGCATGGGGAGACAAGGAGTAGGGGAGCAAACAGCAGGGGTCTGGCCTCTCACCCCCCACCACTGCTTTCCCTGTCATAGCAGTGAGGGGAAGAGAGGAGGACAAATTTAAGATGACCTACCAATTAGATTCTATGTATGAAAAATTATAACAAATGTATAGTTTTCAATGTATAGAATCTAGTTACTGAAGGGCCATCTTAAATTCAAAGTTGGTTTGAACTATGCTATAGTTCAAGAGAGTTAAAGGTGGACCAAACAAAAATAGAATGAAAGTCTAATTGCTCATTGGCTACCTCTATCCCTCCTTCCTGTTAAGCTGTATCTCTTTGCTATAGAACTGTGGGAAAACAATCCTCCTGAAAATTAGGTGGAGGAATTGGGATGTAAGGGCATTTCTTTGTGTGTAGGAAGGAAGCCCCACGCATCCTGTACCCAGAGCTGGGGGTTGGATTGTGTGATCAAGTTTTGATTACAGCTCCTGCGTGTGTCAAAGAAAGGCTTGCAAAAAAGAAGTGGAAAGGAGATGCAATGGGAACAGGAGGAGGTGTCAAGGAAGAAATGTGGCATCCTGAAAGATGTGAGAGTCTGTCTCAGGAGGATGAATCCAATAGAGTCTAAAGAGAATTCTGGCAAAGCTACTGCCCTTGGAAAGGTGGCAACTACCAGAAAAGAGTAGACGAGAAAGATGGCAAAGGTACCTAAATGTTCATTTACAAAAAAAGTCTTTTATTTAGTACTTCTAAATGTTTCTTCGAGCTTTTTTTAAAGCTCAGTTTATGATGAAGAGGAGGAGAGAATGGGCATGTCCAGTGCATAAGATCAAGATTTACTTTGAGAAGTTAATGAAAAGTTATTCAAGATATATTTTTAAAGGCTATAAAGTCCTATGCTGGCATGTGTAACTTTCTGTGCCTTAAAAGAGTACCTCAGTATAGTTGAGTTAATACTTGTATTAACTGGTAGGACTGGGGTGTTCTATCTAGATTCATAGATGCTAGGGTCAGAAGGGACCTCAATAGATCATCGAGTCCAACCCCCTGCATAGGCAGGAAAGATTGCTGGGTCTAGATGGCCCCAGCTAGATGCCTATCTAACCCCAGCTAGATGCCTATTCTCTTTGGAAAGAAACCTGAAAACCTAACTCTATGCAAAGACCTTAACTGAATCCCCCTTTTTGGCACAAGCTCAGTTACTCCTCAGACTTACCATCATAAAACTCTCTCCAGGTGGTCTGCAACCCTCCTAATTATCACTTCATTGCCAAGACAGAAAGGACCCTTTCAGCTGCCTGTGGGAGCTTTAACTTCAAAGGACATCTCCTCCCCACACAGCTGACTGGAGAAGCAGTCTCCTGTGAAATCAAAGCCACAACAAAGAGCTGGGACACCTCAGTGGTCCCATGTAGCTGTTTGCTGCAACTTTGTGTATTACCCTGGGCTGAATTGCAAACTCTCATCTTTGCAAGGGCTACAGAACCTGACCCTATGGACTATCCAGATGTACTATATTGCATTAACCCTGTGTCTGCAGTGATTCGGATATGTATACTCCTTCTTAAAAGTCTTAATCACCTATTTATTTTGGCATCCTTCTACAAATTCTAGAAATTAACATAATGCATGAATAATCCTAGGCAGCATCTTCCTCCTTTCTCTGTTACTGGCTGGTGTCTTGTGTGAGTGTAGTTAACTTGCAGCCTTTATTTATTATTTATTATTTGCCTTTAAGCCCTGTGTAATGAATAAGAAAAACAGTTGTCCAAGCTAAGGCAGGTAAGCTTTTCCCACAAAAGTTTCCTTCTAGATTGGGAAGAATCACTGTGCCTTCTTGCCAATCTGCATCATTCTCTTTAGAGAGAAAACATGGAATAAGGGGGCAGATGGCTCAGGATGTGGATACTAACTCTGCCCGTGATTAGAAACCTTTTCCTAACACTTCCCTAGACTATACTGGAAATGAGCAATTATTCACTAGGTTTAAATTAATGTCTTAACTTCCAGGTGGAGTATAAGGGAGCAGTTCTTTCATGCCTCCGAACACACAGGCTAAACTGTTAAAGATAAAAGTCCGTTTTAGGTAATGGATAGAAACTTCATTAGAAGTTTTGACTATCCAGCATTTCCTATTTAAATGCATATGTATTGGATTCTTTCCATTAAACACCAAGCTCTGACAATGGAGCAGACTTTGACAAAGGAAAGAGAAGTAGCTGAAGTGATGGAAGAAACCATAAAACGGAGGAAAGATTAAGTTTGTCCAACAATGAAAAACTTCACTAGCCATCAGTTATATAAGATTCTGCCCAGATTCACTGGAAAGACAAGAGTTACAGACATACCACTACGGTTTCTTTAGGAAGAGCATTGAGCAAAGCCTATGCCTTCAGGATGACCCAGGTGAATTGACCAAGTGGAATCAAACTTTACGTTCTAGAGCAAACATGCAGGTTGGTAAAAGTTTTTAACTAAGGAATCTTCCTCTGCAGCTCTTCTAGGAATGACAGAAGCAACCAGAGAGGAAAATATTAAAATGTGTAAAAAACTCTTAAGAGAAGAAGAGACAGCAATAGAGAAAATGTGTAAAAATCTGCAGCTGAAGTGAGAAAATATTCCTCAGTGTTAAACTGTAAAACTGAAAATTAGAGTTTTGGGAAGGAAGAGTGGTAGTGTTTTGTTCTGGTGTTTAAGATTTGTTTTCCTAAATGGAAATAGATTGTCGCCAATCATTTTTCATTCTTACTTTTAATATATTAAAGAATATGCAAGTTATCTCTTCTCTTGATGTCTATGCAAAATCCTTATTGACATATAGGTATAATGTATAGGTCTAATTTCTGTCTCTGGGTCAGCCATTGAAAAAATGGTAGAAATATGTCTGATTTACACTCACGAGAGGAGAATCACACACATTTGCATTCATAGTAAAGTATGCGTATCAGTACACCAATATTGTGGTCACTCATTAAGAAGTGAACACTTATCAACAACAGCTTCTACCCAGTGGTCCTTTGGTTACTGCTGGCAACACATACATGAGACTTGAGTTAACTACATGGTATCATAACATTTGATTTTTTTTTTTAATGGTAACCACTCCAAAATTTTCCTTAGCCTTCCCATAGCCACCCCTCCCAGTACCTCCCTTTCCAAGCCTTCTGCCTCATTCCCAGGTCACTGCTGCCTGCCCCACACAGCTGAGCCTGCCTTGCTCCCGCCTTCAAAAGGTGCGGTGCTCCTGTCTCGGCCCTGCCCTTGGGGCCCATATCAAGCTTTGTCTGAAGATGGAAAGAAGGAAAGAAAGAGGCTGGGGAAGGAAAGAAGGCTGTGCTGTGAGAGGGATGCCAGAATTTCAAGCAGATCCCTCTTTCCTCTATAGAGTTACCTCAAGCCCAAAGTTCTTAACTATATACAATTTGTTGTTATAATATACATAATCATAAAACTAAATATCATACACATATATTTACACAGTGAACATTAACCAGTAACCGAGGTCAAACCCTAAATAACACTATTTACCCATCACAATAAAACAATTTCAGCAGCATCAACACAATACAACATCAAAATACAAAATTTCAATGACAAAATATAAGGTGCGAACAAGAACAATCTTAATAACACCTATTCTTTAATATAGTCCCTGACCCATGCCAAGAGATAGTCCTTCTTCCAATGGGGTCCCTTGCAGGGTGTCCAGGAAGCACCAGGGCCCCCTCCCCTTAGGGCCTTGACTAGGCAGTGGGCTACTCACCCATCCCCTTCTCTGGGGTTGCCTGCCCTTGTGGGACCCAAGGGCCCAATAACCCAAGGGCCACAATTCAAAAAGGACATAGAGAAGCTAGAGAGGGTCCAGACAAGAGCCATGCACATAAGAGGTCAGGAAAACAGACCTTATGATGACAGGCTGAGAGCCATGGGGCTCTTCAGCCTGGAAAAGCACAGGCTCAAGGGTGATCTGGTGGCCACCTATAAGTTTATCAGGGGTGCTCACCAGGATCTGGGGGAACATCTGTTCACCAGAGCGCCCCAAGGGATGACAAGATCGAATAGTCACAAACTCCTCCGTGACCATTTCAGGCTGGACATAAGAAAGAATTTCTTTACTGTCTGAGCCCCCAAGGTTTGGAATAGACTGCCACCGGAAGTGGTTCAAGCACCTACTTTGAATGCCTTCAAGAGACATTTGGATGTCTATCTTGCTGGAATCCTATGACCCCTGCTGACTTCCTGCCCCTTGGGCAGGGGGCTGGACTTGATGATCTTCCAAGGTCGCTTCCAGCCCTAATGTCTATGAAATCTATGACTCACGCTCCCTCAGGTGGCGGTGGTCAGGGCGCAGCTCAATGTGGTCTCCTCTGCTGGAGTGCCTCTCCAGGCCTCTCCGCTCCGGACACTGAGGGCTCAGCTCCTCCCAGCTGCTGCACCACTGCTTCTGGCTTCTGGGTGCTGGGCCTCACGCTGTAGCACTACTATTTCCCTGTGCCCTAGCTTCAGCACCAAGCCTCTTTTAGCACAGGGTGGGCCCTTCAGGCACTGTCCATCGGTCTTCACGCCGGGTGGCTAACTCAAGCAGCCTCCGCTGCTCCCAAGGCTTGGCCGGTATGCCACGCTGTGCACCATGGGACCTGGGTGCTTGCTGGGAAATGGGACCTGAGCCACCTCACTGTAGCCCCCAAGGCCCTTGCCCTGTGCGCTGCTCCATGCACCATGTAGCCCGCTGGCCCTGCTGCGGTTGCAGGCTTGAGCCGCCCTTGCGGCTACCATAGCTTGGGCTCTGTGCACCAAACCATGTACCATGATGGGTCCAAGCAGTCTCACACCACTCCCAAGGCTGCTCTTCCAGTGGCAGCTTCAGGAGCCTTGGGCCTATTGCCCATTGGGGGAGAGCTCCCCAGCTTTTCTTGGCTCCATTCTTCTTGAGTCCCTCGCTGCATCTGCCCCCGTGCTGGGCACACAGCTCCTTTTATACGCTCCAGGACTCCGCTCCTGAAGCCTTCTGGACCTAACAGTTTACAGTCTTCAATCAGGTCTGGGGGAGCTCTTCTCCCCCTCCCCTCAGGAAAGGGGCGCAGCTTTATTTCTCTTGCTGCCTCCTGATTGGTGGATGGGCTCCACCAATCAAAACAGCAGGATCTCAAGCCTGGGACTCAACCCAAGCTCTGAAAGGTTTATAATTAAAAAATAAAAGTTCGAGTTTCTGAAAATATTATTGGTACTAATTTTATTGTCTCTCTCCACCTGACCTTGCCATCACCCTACAAGAGAAGGACTTTGCCACTGTCAAGAATAGACTGACATGAATGCGTAGCGAGCAACCTCTCAGATTAGTACAATAAGAATCAGCTTTATGCAAACCCAACCAAGATGCAGGTCACAGCTTTTCACGTACGCCAAAGAGAAACCAAGCAGAAATAAAACATAATCTGGGATGGAATCCCACTGACTGATCACCCAAACCCTGTGTACTTGGGAGTTACACTGGATGGAACACTCATCTTCAAAGCACATGTGGAGAAGATGAAAAGGAAAGTCAGCACCCGCAACAACATACTTTGAAAACTGGTCACCTCAAAATGGGAAGCGGACCCTGCTATATTACAAACCACTGCTACTGTCTTGTGTTACTCCACTGCAGAGTTTGCATGTCTCGTATGGGAATGATTAGTCCATGCCAGGAAGGTACACACAGTTCTAAATGACAGCTGCCATGGAATAACAGGATATCTAAAGTCAACACCAAAGAATAGACTGTACTTACTGTATGGCATTGCACCACCTAATCTCAGTAGAAAGGTAGTGAGCCAAAAAGAAAGATCACAGTAGATGGAAGATCCAAGGCATCCACTTTATGGTCACACAGAAGTAACTAAACATCTTAAAATGTGCAAGTGTATTGTGACCAGTGTTGCACCGTTGGACATGAGGGCTGAAAGGGCACAGCTGAGGTTGTGGAAGAAAAGATTACATGCAATCAGGTGCTCTAAATGCACCCGGAATCTCAGGAGAACCTGCCAAGAGGGGTGGACCTAGATTGGCCAACATGGTGATGCCTGAATCACCTGCGCATGCAAACTGGAAGATCAAAAACAAACATGATCAAATAGGGCTACTCTAATTACATGAATACATGTGAGTGCAGTGAAGTGCAAGCTGTGGAGCATGTGCCTGTTTGCCAACTCCTTGGTTGAGACTTGTACAAGAGAGGACCTTGCTGCAGCAATGGAAAGAGTTATCAGTTTTGTCACAATTCTGGAAAAACATCCAGTTTTATGACAAGGGTGCAGAAAGAAAAAGAACCTTATCTGCCTGGCTACTTTGAAAGAAGTGTACCTTTTTCTTGAAGCTAAGTTTCACCAAGTGCTCAAAATTTTCCAAATACTATTTGCTGAAGAATTGTATGTTCTATTTTTTTTCAGTTGTGGTATCTCAAGCCCTGGCAGCGTTAATGCCACTTATTGTTCCCAATTTGAGAATAAGGAAGGGTGTGTTCTATGTATGTTTTGTCTCACTACCACTATGTGAGACTTGTGATATATTGAATTTCAACATTGTACCTCATGAAAAATAATAGTCTGCAGCTCCAATAAGAATCCCTCAGAGCAAACAAGGATACTTTAAAAAGTGGTAGTGGTATGTCTGTGCCTGAGAGATTGTCTATGTACATGTGGATTAGTGGGTACTCTGCATCTGAAGGGGGCAATGTTGCATAATAAATATATTTTGCCATGGAATTGTGTATTACTTGGACCAAGTTTCTCTGACGGGCCAATAACCCATACCAGCCCTGAAGGATACTTAGTACCTCTCAGGATAATCTGATAAACAGTAACTCAGCACTGGTTGTAAAGAACTTGTTTAAGGAAACTTTTACTCAGTATTACTACAATCACAGCTTGACTGAGCAAAGGCTATATCTTCATTCCTTTCTTCTATTCTAATTAAGTCAACAGCATTTAGTAAAGCATGACCTTGGTGTGAATTATAAAGCTCAGGATTTACTGCTTTTGAGATGAATGTGGAATGCTGTATAAAGCCTTCTGGTTTCCTTCTGGAACTGAGCTATGTGGATAAGACATGCTCTTTGTTCTGGGTTTGTCTCTTAAAAGCCAAAGGCTACACAGCTGCCACTTGGGCCCAGACACAGACACATCCCATCCAATGTGCTGTCATTTCCTGCAAACAAAATAAATAGGAAAATCAGACATGAAATGTAAGTTAACTGAGTGGGCAAACTTAAACTATTCTACTACTTACTATGTGTTAACTCTTGTTAAATCAGTTTATCTTTTGCATAGGTTAATAAAGTTGATATACTACCCCATTTTTATGTTTAGCTTATTAGATCATTTAGTTATGTTTATTTTTTTAAGTAAAAGGGAATATTTTAATATAAAAAGGGAGCCACAGGCTTCACTCTCTACCTGTCTGTTTCAGACACCCAAGGAGTGCTTCATTAGTTCCAGCTTACCCTGAAATCTAGTATTGGGAAATCAGGATAGTTATGATTTTCACTGGCCCCAAAACTCATTATTTTCATTCTAATAAAAATGATAACGG